ATCTTGCAATTATTATGTTTTGAGTAAGAAACCTCATTCTAGGTAACTTGTATTTCAAGCAATCACCAAAGATGATCAAATAAAACAAAACTCTTTACACTCCAATCAAACCTTTAAAACAAAAATGAAAGTTTGAGAATTCCATTTGATTAACTTAACCTCAAAGGCCTATGATCAAAAAGTCTTAATCTTCAATTCTTGTTCAAAAGCTAAATTGGTAACCAAAATGAGTTCGCATGTCATTCTTGATTCAAACGGGATTTCATCATCTACCAAACATGTTTTAAGAACAATCGTCAGTCTTGTAGAATTAACAAACTTAAGCGAATTGTGTTTAAGAATATTTGAAATTTTGAAGACTCAATTATCCCTGATAAATCCTAAACTCTAATTATTGATTTTCCGTCTTAGGAAGAGAATCTGTCTGATCGACCCTTGAGCTAATTGAGTGTACAAGAAACCCTAGGATATCATTTTGTATGAAAATTTAGAGGGAAAATTTTGGGGTACAACAATGAGCATAAACTTTCTACAAAGAATCCATTTATCAGAAAGTATAAACACCCATGTTAAAAAAAACTATGAAGGATGACCGTTCGTGCTCACAATGGCGCGGGTGTCAATGGAAAACTTCCTGTTCTGGGAAGTTGTCACTTCATTAGGGTCAAACCTTCCTCATAGCTAAGTCTTTAGTAGAGAGTCTTTGAATCCCTCTTCATCATAATTTATTCAGAATAATACTCAGTAAAAATGCGGTAGAATATGAAGTGAGCTTCTAGAGTATGAGGCTTCACCAGGGTGAACTCAATGAGGGGAAATCGCAAGTTTACCCGAGTGAACAAACACTCTAGAAAGGAATAAAGCACCTATGAACAGTGTTGTATATTCACTTGTGTGATTTTACAAGAAGGACCCACCAATCATTGGGTTGACCGACCATGATGTTAGCTGCTCTAACAACCGCCAAATCACTTAAAACTGAATGGGATCCCACTATCTCGAAGTCCATCTAGTTGTATTACTCACATCATTCGAATCAACTAACGTGACTCCTATCAAAGGTATCTCATCAACCATGAAAATACAAAAGGGATTGAGCCATCTGACACCATTTGGCTGAGCTCTACGCGATATATGATTCTTAATTTTAGCATATCTTGGCTTCCGACCGTAAGCATTTTGGTAAGTCTTGATGAATTTTTTAGAATCCTCCCTATTCAAAAGGGCATCCTCCATCTCTGGAATCAACAAAGAATGAGGATCTGAAGCTCTTGCAACTTCAGACAATGTGAGCATAGAGTTAGTTGCAAGATCGTCGCTAACATCCTCACCAGAAAAAATAGCATTGAATGAACAATCCCTAGAAGAGGTTCCCTTATCCATAGATCCTTTAGAAAGCCTCCCTGAATCAAAATCATCGAATACAAGTATAACCTCTTGGGTTGATTAATTAGTGACTAAGTGCGGAGGATTTGAACTAGAAGACACTTATGCTCTAACTAAAGGAGAGGAACCACTACTCCCAGAATCACTAGATAAACTTATGGGACTATCGTTCATATTGTCCATGGTAAAAAATGTTGAAGATATGGAAAAAATAGTTCAGAATAAGAAGGGTACCTAGGAGAAGTAGAGATTGGCGAGAAAGGTGAATTCAAGTGAGAAATGGGAGGCTTTGTTCAAGGAATAATATACACTCTGAGAAATGCTTCTGGATACGAAGAAGAAATAACACTCTCAAATGGAAACTAATTTTCAAGGATAACAAAAAGTTCTCCCAAAGCTCAAAAAACATAGAAGAGAGCGGTCAATGGACCAAATCAATATAAATAAGAAGTTATGTAACACTCCATTTTCCAATAATAATAATTATAATGAAATATACAAAATATACATCAGAGTCCACAAATGGGATGTCACATCATTCAAATAACTCATAAAGTCTTAAGTCACTTTATTATTTCATTTATTCATAGTAATCAACTAAGCAGCTGAATAATTCAAATTAATTCACTTCCATGGTGCTAAGACCTCAACAATAATAAAAACTCCACAAAATGCGTAGTTCAACACAATTATGAATTAAGATACATAACAATTAAAAACAATGCAAAACATAGCAGTTTTCCAAATTCCGTGTTACATATCAGAACGACTCCTAAGACTCGATCAGGCAACACTCACTCCAAGCACTACTCGGGTACTTGGTTATTTGTACTCCTCGAGGAGCACATACACAACAATAGAAATGAGCGAGAATTACATTCAATAAATATATGGTGAATGTCACATGCTAAGGAGTAGTAGTTCACACAATTCACATAATTCATAAAATGCACGTTTCACATAATACTTTGCAACACGTTCTTATTTCATATAACACAATGTCAAATCAAGATAGTGCAATGTAATGCAACCGACAACAACTAAATCCATATGGTACCAACAGGACACGAGCCTTCAACGTAATGCCAAATAGGGCAACAACAAGGCATAAGCCCTCAACATAATACCATTACAGGCCAATAATAGGGCATAACACCTCTCTAATGAATGCATGCATCATCAATATACAACACCACAACTATGCAACCACAAGGCATAAGCCCACTATATTTTCCAATAAGGCCACCAACATTATTATCATCACGCAACATACAAATCCACACAAGGCTCCACGTTTTAACCCAATATCCATTATTACTAGCCTTCCTATATCTACTCAAGTCACACTATTTATTATGGATCAAGGAAATTACATCGCATGCAAAAACGGGAAAGAAATCGTGAAAACGAAGATTTTTGCAATTCAGCCTGCCCATACATATACCATACGCGTACGACTTCTTTCTCGCCCATCTCATACGTGTATCATACGCGTACCACCAGAGGCGTTTTCCCCCAAAAAAACCTCTATAGAATTCCAATACGCATAATGGCTAGTCCATACGCGTATGGTCCCCTCTCATACGCGTACCATCAGAAGACCGTGCTGGCTTGGGGACAGGGCGCGTACCATACGCGTACGTCTCTTGGGAACGTCCCCCATATGCGTATCATACGTGTATGGCCAGTCTGCTACATTCTAAATTATGCTTTTGCACCAGTACAATTTCCACTTGTTTGGAGCACTTTCAATCTCTTAATTTGGATCCAAAACCGTGTTTTTACACATAATAACCTATATGCTTCATATAATTTCATTGATCTATCATCCTATAACAGTTTTCTACATCTAAACCCTCATTGTTCATCATCTTCCTAAACCTATATTTCTAGATTTGATAACATCACAACAACAACAATTATCAACAACAATCCCAATATTGGCATCATTCAATTTACAATTCCACATAGAATCACATAAAAACAACATTAATCAAACAAAAGAAGAATCATACATCAATTATACACAAAACTTAAAGAGGAAAAGGAACCCTCGCTACCCTTTCATGTTATAATCACCCTTTAGAGAACTCATTATCCCCCATTACCTTAGTTTGGAGCTTTGATCCTTCAAAGATGATGGAATTCTCTCTTGTCCTAGCTATTCCTTCTCTTCTCTTCTCTGTTTCTACATGATAGTAGCTTTTCTCTCAAATGTTCCTACTATTCTTCTAATAATTATTTTATTCTAGTTAAATAATAATAATAATAATAATAATAATAATAATAATAATAATAATAATAATAATAATAATAATAATAATAATAATAATAATAATGGAATAATTATAATAAAAATAATAACTATAACGTTACTAATAATAATAATATTAGTGGTAATTATACCATATATCTAATAATATTTTCATTAATAATAATAGTATATTCCATTATTCACCAATATTATTATTATTATTACACCATAGACTAATTTTTATTCTAATTATCTAATTAAAACTAAACTTTCACATACCCTTAATCATACCTACCTACCTTTAATTATACCAAAATAACTCAAAATCAACAAAGAATGACTAATTATTTAAATGGGAACGTTACAAGCTACATATCAATGGTTAAATTTCACCTAGAAAATGTAAACAAGTGCACTCAAAGACTCTGGAAAAAAATCTCATACTTTAAATGTATAGATTAAAACCACACGTTATAAAAAACTGAAAGCGTGATACATTTTTTGGACATCCACTTTTTTCATTATACTTATATTGAATTCTAAACTAACTTGATTTTGGAGTGATTACTCATCTTGAATTGAATGATGATTGATCTGTTAAAAGGCAATTTGATTTAAAATATTGTAAAGATTACATGTGCACATGAATATAGTTTTTGTAATGCTTCCTGCCCCTTCCACATTTTCAAATTGTTTTGTGCAATAATATTTAGAACCACACATCTTACTTGCATTCTCACGAGTCACCCCTAAGAATTAAAATTAGCATTTAAAAATTTCTTGTGTCCTATAACGTCCCCCATTCTATCATAGTACACTAATAATAAAGTGTAACGATAAAGTTGCATTACATAATCCAAAATACACTAACAATAAAGTCTAACGATAAAGTTGCATTACATAAATCCAAAAATTACGAAAGTCAAGAATTAGCTGTGAAAATTGCTGAACACACAGATACAAACAGTAATATGCAATGTATTTTTAAAATGCCAGAAAGATATCAAAGATTCACAAACATGTTCTCCCAAAATTTCTCCAACCATATTTGTCTCTCCCTCCAATATCACCTTTCTCTTATTTCGAGTTCCCTACGGCGACACAGTCAATCAATTTGAAAAATAAATCATGACAACTAGCCACTTTCTCACCCCCTTTCCACTCCTTACAGTGAATTTTATTTGAGGACAACTTTTTCAAACACTAAACACCTACTCCTAGTGCTTGTCCTTCCCTCACCCTATAGTACAAACAAATTAATTATCATTTCTATAAAAAATTGGCATCACTTAAAAAAATAGTTGTAGTAATAAAAATAGAAAATAATAAAAATGAACTAATTTTCTTAAAGATGAATATTCTACATCAACCGATCGGACAAGCTAGGAAGTCGCCGGAAAAAGTTCAAACTAGCCGGCGGCATTGGGTTCCGAAACATTGGATGACGGAGGTAATAGAATCCCAAAGCCACAGCAACCATTTTAGGAGGCACAGAATAGAGTATAACAGCAATAACAAAACACACTCCAATGAACAATTTGGTAGCTCTTGGGTCCCTCCAACTAACCAATGCTTGAACCCTTTCTCCTTGTGTTGCAAAATCACCTAAAACCGTTTGCACCCTCGCAGCCAACATCCTTAACCTGTCATAACGAACCCGAACCATATCAGGTGGTTTGGAGCTCGGCATTGTGTCAAATTCTTCGTCTAATTCATCCGGATCAACAGCTTCCGATTGTGATAACCGTGTATCCATACCAGCAGGTATTTTGGGTCTAAAACGGTAATACCATATCCCAATTAAAACCACGTATAAAAACCCGGTTGGAACAATTAAATCTGGATACCAAACAAGTACTAAGTAGAGTATATGAAGCAAAACCGTTGTAACTGGATTTTTCCATCTTCGGATATCATCTAACCATTTAGCTAATCCAACGGCCCAAGCTAAGACTGCCACAATTCTAAACCAGTTAGCTTTACTTTTCCTCATGCTCCAAGCGTGTGAATCAGCATCCAACATGTAACGAACAACTTCATGTCCCATTGGAGGCTCAGACCGCGCCAGCCACTGTGCCACCATTTTGGTGGCTGCGCCACGGAGAGCTTCCTGTTGAGCCACCCCGAGTGGGCGGATGTAGTGCATTTTTGGAAGTAATGGTTGGCCGTAAACTGCACACATGTCGGGGAGAAACGAGGGGCATGCGAACCGAACCGCTAATTCGATTTCACCCATTTTCTTTAAACCGGTTCGAGTTAAAACCAGTAATGGATATGAACTTGTATAGATTTTGTTGCTTTCTAGAGTAGAAACTCGAATACGAACTTTACCTATACGGCAATCAGGTTTTTCTTCTGACACATCAGCAAACATACGCCAGTTGTCAAAAACACCAACGGTCAAAACGGTGCATGGGTCGTAAACCTGCCATGTATACTGCTCGTTCCAGCGTGGGTCGAAACTATCCGTTACTGTACGGGTTCGGACCCATTTTTTACCATACTTGGCTACACAGTAAGCATCCGTGGACCCTTTTCCTGGACCCTTGGATTTCATTGGGAGTAAACCACGAGCGCCTAGGATTCCAAGTTCAAGAATTCCAACGGGAGGTTTCCAGAGAGATTTTGCAGTGGGTCGGAAATCGCTGCACACGTGCGCCGCTTCGTCTAGCACGTGATATCCACCTTCGAGGTTGAGGCGGAGGTGGACACGGCCGCAGTAGGATCCACCTTCCAGTGGGAACCATTTGGCTGGCACGTGGCGATCGTCTATTCGCTGTTCAATTGAAGTAAGAGGAATCACGACGTGGCCAAGGAGTGCCGCTTCCTTGGTGGTTCGATCTTCTACCAGAAGGACCATGGAATCTTCTAGAGGCTCACCGGCGACGAAGAGAAGGTCTTCGTGCCAGTGAAACGACATGCTGTGATGGTTCATTGAGCCTCGTCTAGTTCTCTGTGATTGAAACCCTAATTGAACTTTAACTCTTATTTCCGGTGTAGTTAATGGAGGTAGATTTGGAGTCAGATTCAGGTCTTGTGCTTCCATTACTGTAACGCGAAGGTACCAAAGCTTAGGTGATTGGTAAACCTTGGAGCGAGTGTGTGCCACGTACGGTGCATCTGAGCTCCATGCTTCTGGAAATGCGTCGTCAGATTGAGTTCCGATCCAAACGGATAACTGAACATCGCCGGAGACTCTGCCGGAGTTTTGTTCGGCCGCACCTCCTTCGAGACGGTACCATTGTGGAGCAAGAGGACTATCTGGAGAGTCTCGGATAGGTACATCAGAGAGATCAAAACAAACTCCACCGAGAAATTGCTCTGTAGGTGAATCCCAAACGGAAATCTCTAACGTGGCACTAGCTGCGTCGGTCTTGTTGTAACCTAGGGCAAAAACCTGGTTCCACTCCGGTGAATCGTTTGGCTCGTTTGGACGATAACTTGCAGGCTTTGATCTCACGTAGTGGCTAGACGTTCTAACCTTCACGAATGGGCTTTCAGTTGGAGGATTAAGACCACGAACCTTTACGATTCTGACAAACAGATACTGCATTGGTTCCACTAGATCGTAGGGATGAATCCTCTCAGACTCACCGTTTGGTTTCTTGCCGGAGATATCTTTCGGCGCGTAGTCACCGTTAGGTCTCTTCATAATCTTCACTCTATCATTTCTAACTGCCTGCATTTTCCTCACTTCCGGCTGGTGGTACTGCATTTCCGGTTCCGGAGGACCATACATCTCCGGCAGAGGTGGATCCTGTTGAACACGAACCACCGGAGATGGTGATTCCTCAACAACCATAACACGAGGCGAAGGAGGACCATCTGGAAGTGGAACACAATGCTCCATCGGCCCATTAACCTGAAAAACCCTTCCCTCCTCAACCATCATCTGTGGTCTGTTTCTCTCTTGCTCCATCCCGGAAGGTCTCTCCTCCTCCTGCGGTGGTGGCTGCTCTTGTTGCTGTTGTTGATTTTCTTCTTGCTGCAACAACTCATCATAGTAATAAATCTTGAGACCGATTTCACCTCTAATCCAACTGAAAACACTCTTCTTCTCTAGCGTATAGTAAACCAGAGCTTCTTCTCCTCTACCTGAGAATTGCGTTCCATAGAGCTTAACCCTACCCAGAAAATGATTTTTCCGTCCACTACCATTACCAAATTTTTTATCATTGTAAACCTCAACTTCAAGCTCTTCAAACTCCATATTCTCCGGGTCAGAAACAATAAACTCGAGCGTTTCATTCCAAACTGGGTTCAGCTCCTTGAACCTTGTGGTGGTTCGTTTTCTCTGACCATCGAAGTCCCCTACAACATAAGGGCTTGCACTTCCTTGACCATCTTTGGGTAGAAGGTTGCGCGCGTCTACAACTTCCACCACCAATCTCCTCACTGTCTGGGGCGGGCCCTGTTGAAACGGCGTCGTCATGGAGTTCATACTCTCATAGCAGCGTTGATAGCTGTGGTGAGTGTTTGTGTATGATTGATTGCCTCGAGAGGAGAAAAAAACAAACACTCGTTTTTCGTTGTATGTTGTGAATTGTTTTTTTTATTATTTTAATTTTTAATATTATTTCCGCTTATTTAGGGAAGAAGGTTTGTTGTGAAGTTGGATTCCATGCTCTCACGCGAAGAATTTCTTTCCAACTTTTTTCTATTCCTCCACTACCGGTTAGTTATCCACCTCAACTTTATTTTTATTCTTACTTAATTTTTCTGAGAATATTTTAAGATTAAGTTATGAATATTTTTATTTATTTTATTTGTTTATTTATTTCAATGGCTGTGGAGTGAGAATGAATGGCCCAAGCAAGCATCTCACTTTTTCTATTCATTAATCTCCTAGTCACAGACAAAAAGTCCTGATTCTAATTTCTAAATTTTCATTTCTATATGTAGCATCAACTCCTGAGTGCACATGTGCATTGATTGGTCATCTTAATATTTTTTTTAAAAGCAATCATAAGATTAAGTTTGAGAAGAGTTTTTGTGCTATGAAAAATCAGAATTTGGATTTAGCAATATCTTTGTGTCACACGCTTGTTTGTCTTACCCTTCAACAAGTTGAGGAGAGTGGCAGATGAGCTTTATTTTTTTTATCACAGTTTTTTGTCACACTCTAGATCTATTGTTTCTACCGTTGATTTAATTTTATTAATTTAATCAAATAAAAATTGTTGGTTTATTTTATATATGATATTCAATATTAAATTCAAGAGCTGTTTATATTTGTAAGATGGAGTATACATGAGATTGTGATGTTAATAAAAAGTATGTGTAACAATATCCATATGTTGGAGGAGGACTAGTAAAATTATGTACATACCCATATCTCTTGATGACATTGTTTGAACAGAGGCATGGAAATGTCCATATCTATGCTTAAGTTTTCAACGAAAGCTAAAAGTCTGAGCAGGAAGGCACATGATTCCGCGTCCCAACCGTGGGCCCATCTTATTTTATTGTGTCAAAAGCATCTACATTTTGAATAAAGTTTTAGGACAAAGCATCGCCTTTATCCATCCTTCCCTACCCCTTTGGTTCCCTTATTCTTTCCCATGCATCGCTTGTCAACATCAAAAACTCCAAGCACCTTTCTTGTTTCAAGCAAACTATATATTGTCTATTGATTTATATATTAGTGTCTAAGAAGCTCCTTGAGGCACTATTCCATTATATCCCAATTGTGTTCAACAAGCTCTTTATTTTTCAGTATTTACAATGACATATGATGTATTGTATTGTGTAATTGTTATTATTTATGCACATTTGAGTAAGAAAATTGGAATTTTCTGGAAGGTTATTCAATTTTTTAAACTAAGATTTAGTGTATCCCAAAGGTTTTTAACTAAGAATGAATCACTGTTACGGTGCATGGCGGCGCTGGCCAAACGTTTTTTGGGGAGGTTATTCATTAAGTATTTAACTAATTTACCATAAAGAAAAGCAGGTATAGGAAGGAAAATAGTTTAAATAACCAGAAGAAGCAGACAAAAAACTTAAGCTCAGGAAGAAGCTTCTCTTTCTGGCACCAGCATCCTGTGCGGTTCTGCTCTTTTTAAATTGGTGGACTACTTGAGGAATCTGATGCTTTAAGATAAAAGTAAATTTTGACATAGTGGTTTTTCAATTTAGCATATTTGGGGATCATGTTACTGGATTAGGTGATTTAGGTCAGTGGAGAACATTGTTTATAGAATCATATGCAAAGGAGGTTTTGAAAAAGACGAGGTGATGTCATCTGGTTTGCAAATTTTTTTGTTGAGATTTTTTCATTAAAAGATAGAAGCCACCATACAATTATTGGACAGAAACTATGGGGAAAGTTGGAGGTTTACTATTCTTCTTTTTTAGGAAGATTACAGATCCTTATTGTGATTGTATCTTCTCTAAGACTTCTTTCATTAGATGAACCTGTATTATGTATGAAAAAACCTCTTTCTTTTGATTCTCACTTTTTACATAGTTAGAAGCTGAGGATGCAGGGTTAAGAAATTTGTATTTGGTTTAATATGGTATACTTGACTTTGATCAGATTATCATAAACTGATGGGAAAAAAAAATGATATTTATGCTATTTGATAAGGACCTTGAATAATTAATTTAGGTAAGACTTCTGTGTCTAACATAAAATTATATCATATAACAGATTAGATGTTAAGATTGGAAACAAAGGAGGATACATTAGATATATATTTAATGTTTGAAGTTTAATGTTTGAATATTTGCACGATACTTAGTTCTATAGATACATATGAAAGGAACTTAGTGGTGGATATACAGTCCTGGTTGCAGGTCAAAGGACTTCCTATAGAGCTTCTGAAGATTGGAACTTACTAGATACATACATCCCAAAGGAGAAAGCTAGAACAGCAGTTATCACAATTTCTTTGTTTTTCCTCAAAACATCCACTGCACTTCTTAACACGGCTTCTTGATCCCACTTCCTTGTTACTTGTCCAGAAAAATCCCCCATGTGTACATTTTCATTTCTTTCTTCTTTGTGTTCTTCATGAGCATGGCCGGCGTGTTGATTAAAAGCTCTCCCCTCATCATGAGCATGGCCGACCTGTTGATTAAAATCTCTCTCCCCATCATGAGCATGGCCGACATGTTGATCAAAATCTCTCCCCTCATCATGAACATGGCCGGCCTGTTGATTAAAATCTCTCCCCTCATCATGAGCATGGCTGACCTGTTGATTAAAATCTCTCCCCTCATCATGAGCATGGTCATCATTTGCGACGTGTTGATTAAAATCTCTCCCCTCATCATGAGCATTGGTTATATGGCTATTATTTTCTTCTGCTCTTTCGGCACTTTCATTTCCAGCTTCTTCATTTTCACTCTCTTTGTTCGCGTGTACAATTTGCTTGGGGAGAGTCACGTAAAGTATCCCTCCATCAAATTTTCCAGCTATCTTGTCGACTTCAGAATCCGTTGGTGCTGGAAAACTCAGATGAAAACGAACACGTTTCTGCTCACTTGCTTGCCTTTCTCCCTTAACAACAATACGGCCACTGCTATCAACCTGAAGCTTCACATCTTCCTTCTTGAATTCTATATACAAACAATATAAAGAAAAAAGTTCCATGAGCTATTCTTGTTTTCATGGCATATCATTAGATTATTCTCACATGAAACAAATAATTACACAAGGCTCGTAAGTAGTATATTAGTATATCATTTGGTTTATAGGGTTAATTCTACTCAATTCATATTATAATTATTTAATATTAAAAAGTAAGTCATATTTTTCCAATACATACCAGGAAGATCCACTAGAAGATAATGGCAGGTAGAGTCCTCTGTCCATCCAGAATTAGGTACAATCTCTTCAACAACTGGATTGCGTGAGCGTGCTACAGGTCTTATAACTCCAAGCCTTGGTGTACCTCTAGCATTGGCCATTAATAAAGTATGAAACTTAAGATTTTAAGAAATTGGTATTGAAGAACTGTGATAGATGCTGTTAAAATTTGCACAATTTGAATGCAATCTGCATGCGGAAGCTATATATAATTTGCTTGTATAATTGCGTGATGTGGTTTCCATGTTTAAATGTGTAGTTGGGTTGCTTTACTTGCTTGAACATTCTTAATTATTCCAAACTTGAGCTGCATGAACGTAGAGTTTTGGATTGTGGTAATCTATATAGTTTTGCAATATAACATGTACAAGAGTATACTATTCCTTGCTTTCTTTGTGTATTTGGACACTGCATATTCTTTAAAATTCATTAAACGTCTTATTTAATATATTTATCTTTCTCTTTCTATCATATAACCAGTATAATAGATCTATCATACCATTTTGTATATCTCTTTTTCTCAAACGTTTTCCTTTGCATATTGTTAAACCCGTCTTTCAGCTAAGTTTATGAAACTGAAATCAATATATAAATGTTATTTTATCTTAAGCATTTTATTTATTTAATATCTTTATTTTTAAAAACTAATCATTATTAGTTTTTAGTTTGAGGGATCTGATCATAGCAAATCTGCCTACAGAAGCTAGTAATTGCTCCAAATGAATAAAAATTATGTATGTCCCAATATAAGGTAAAATCACTTTGTCACACATTAATTCAAAATGACTTTGACCAATTAGGAACAAAAATGGTAGCAGCTGAAATAAATTATTTGTCAAAGTTTCAAAAGTCTATATACATTGCTCAGCGAAGTGGAATGTCACACCAATTGCAACAGCTGGCAGAGGAGTTTTATAATTTTTTTTAAAAAATTAATAAACCTATGAAAATCAAATTGGAAACTCCTAATCCTCAACATTTTTTAGGGTGAAAGATTTTCTATCACTCCACTTTTACTTTTACTTGATCAATCTCTAAGTCTATGTTTAGCTTTTGAGGGAAATCGAGGTAATTCTGCACGTTTCACAAAAGCTACAACTAATAGCTTTCGATGTCCCAGCACTGTAACTTATTTCACTGTTAAATGACATTTTTCTCAATTTACTATCAAATTTCTATCCTCACACGTAGTTAGCACTAGCTACGGATTATTTAAACACTTCTAAAGGACTAACCAAAGGCACAAAAGTCATTCATGAATACATAGATTATTCAATTAAATATAAAAACAACGTTATCATATATCTCTGAAAAGTTATAGGTGTATTGTATAGCCCAAATGACATTCTTTTGAAAATAAATGAAGTATAATAACAAGTGAAAGTTGTCTCTTTTTTTTTATCCCAGAGAGATATAGCAATTTGATTTTATCCAAAATATTCATTAAAAAAACAATAGTTATTTTTTTCTCATCAAATATATCAAACATTTGATTTATGAAAGGCTTGGGAAATGGTACTTACTTCCTAGTTGCCTTGTTCAACTTTCTATAATCATGCAAATCATCAACCATGTCACACCTCTAATGGGGATCAATTTTTTTCCGTTGACCGTGATTGTTATGACATCTTTCTTCAGCAGTATACTGTTGGTGCAAGGTAATGAAGTGAGAGAAGAAGAATGAACAAGAATGATAACAAGAAGACTACTGTTGTATAAAATAGAGGAGATAAAGTGGGGATACAATATTGATAGCCTAGTATAACATATTTATACTAAATATTGAAAATGTCAAAAGGCCATATTAAAGATATCATTGGGAATTGTAGACATTAACTAAATTATCTTTTCAATATCATCCTTTAATTTAGATATTCTATCAGAAGCTAACAACACCAATTTCATCTCTCAAACGAAGGAATTGATCTGTCTTAACTGCCTTCGTCAGAAGATCTGCTAGCTGTTTCTGAGTGCTGCAGTGCAGAACTTCTAACACTCTTTTCTGCACTTAACTTTTGAGAAAATGATACTTCGTCTCAATGTGCTTGCTTCTTCCATGTAGTACTGGATTCTTGACAAGATCAATTGCAGACTTATTATCAATCATCAGCTTCAGAGGTTCCTCAACTTCAACCTTTAGATCATGCAAGAGATTCAAAAGCCAAACAGCTTGACAAGCAGCTACAGCACTTGCGATATACTCAACTTCACATGTTGACAGAGCCACGACAGGCTGTTTCTTGAAACTCCAGGAAATGGGACCTCCCAGAAATTTAAACAAGTATCCATAAGTACTTCTCCTGTCCACTCTGTCTCCACACCAGTCAGAGTCAGAATAACTTACTAATTCTGGTTCTGTCTTTCTTTCAGAAGGAAATAACACTCCATATTTCAGAATTCCTTTGATATATCTCAGAATTCTGACAACAGCTTGGAAATGAGACAACTCTGGATTACTCATGAATCTACTAACCAACCCAACTGCATAACAAATGTCAGGTCTAGTATTGCATAAATACCTTAGAGAACCAACCAACTGTTTGAAGGTTGTAGTATCAACAGAATCACCATCAGAGTCAGAATCTAATTTTTGATTGGTTTCTGATGGTGTCAGAGCAACTTTACAATTCTGCAGCTTAAATCTCTTCAGAAGTTCTAGTTTATACTTCAAATGATGCAGAATGATACCCTTCTTCGAGTACAAAATCTCCATCCCTATGAAATATGTCATATTTCTTAGATCTGTCAACTCGAACTCATTCATCAGAACTTTTTTGAATTTCTTTATATCTTATGGGCAGCTTCCTGCTAGCAAAATATCATCAACATAGAAACACACCAAAATCATATTGTTATCAGAGTGTTACACATAAACGCCATATTCCATCTCACATTTCTGAAACTTCTTCTTCTTGAAAAATGAATCAATTTTCAGATTCCAAGCTCTGGGTGCTTGCTTCAGTCCATATAGAGCTTTATTCAACTTGTATACCATTCCTTCCTGATTCTTTTTCACAAATCCAGGAGGTTGTGACACATAAACTTCTTCCTGTAATGGATCATTCAGAAATGCAGACTTCACATCCAGATGCATCAAAGGCCAATTTTTATTTGCAGCTAAAGCAATCACCAGTCTGATTGTTTCATGCCTAGCTACAGGTGCAAACACCTCAAAGTAATCTAACTCAGGTTTCTGAAGAAAATCTCTAGCTACTAGTCTAGCTTTGTGCTTGTCAATTGAACCATCTAGCTTAAGCTTCAACTTAAAAACCCATCTAACACTGATGGCTTTTTTCTTATCTGGAAACTTAGTCAATTTCCACGTTTTGTTCCTTTCTATTGCCCTAAGTTCTTCTTTCATGGCATTCATCCATTCTTTCTTCTTGAGAGTGTTTCCAGTGATTTCTGGTAAACAACCGCTAGTCTTCCAAACTATCGAATAATCTTTCTTACTGTTATTCAATCTCTCTGGTAACTCACAGGATCGACTAGATTGATCCTAGGACTCCTTGGATACTAAGGTTACTCTCACAATCGAACAATTATTCATGGTTGATATTGTATAAGTGTTTGGCTTACTTCGATCTCTCTCTACGAGTCTAAAAATGTAGTCAAAATGTATATGAAAACTAAGTTATACGAATAAATGTTAATTGTGATGCTGATTGTAAAGACATATAAAACCGCATGAAAATGAAGTAAATGGTTTCGACTTACAAAACGTTTAACATAAAAGGTTTCTGGAATGTAGAAGTTTAAAATATGCAAAAAGCGTTTAATGCAAGAAATCTGTAAATGATTTTAAGTAAAAGTATGCGCTCGAAGGACAATACTTGAAGGTAAAGGTATGGAAAATGTGACAGTTCTCTGAAATATAAAGTGCTCGAAATATAAAGAAAACAGTAAAACGTAAAACTTTGAGGAAAAGACTTCGAAATGAAAAGATTGTAAATAAGAAAACTTGCAAATGTTATTTGACAAAAAGAAAAGAGGAAAGTACTGGAAATGTTAAAAGGCTTTCATTAAGTTAGAAATACATGGTGCTATCATACATACATTTCTCTTGCATTCGTTTCCCTTGCCATGTGGTAGTTTGAATGTTATTGAGTATTTTGTATAACAGATATGACACACCGAAATCCTAATACTAAGACTTCTATTTATACTAATTCGACCCTAACGGTCTCGCTACAGGATTATGCCACGTTTCGAACATGCAAGACAATGCTTCTTTCATCTTTCCACGTGTCCCCAAATGCTCCAACACATAACTTTCAAACTTTGAAAGTCCCGCTTCCATTTGAATTTTAAATGCTTTTGGTGTCTCTCTATTTCGAGCGTTCTTCCCAAACACAGCCTCGCTGTTGTTCCGAGACTCCTTTAACTATGTTCCCATAATTGCCGTTCGAAGCTTCACGCTTTGACACCCTTATTCGAAACACTGCTTCTGCAACTTCGAAATATGGCGTTTAATTCCATTTCGATCAGAACGTTTATCTCTTTTGGCTTCTAAATAATATTATCGAAATCTTCAGCCAACAGAGAGCTTCTTCAATGCCCACTGGTTTAGAATCTACTAACATGGCACACTGAACGACTTCTCCTTCAGAATCGGCTTCGTTATCCTGTAACATGTCGAAATCTGCAAACCTTCTTGTTTTTTGTCTGATTCTATGTAGTCTTTGAGCTTGTTCTGAAACTGCACCAGAACTACTACCTTCAGAGTTACCACCTTCAAAGTTTTCCCTTCCAGAACTATGGTCACCACCAGATTCTGGATCATCATCAGCATCTGGATCAGAATCAGATCCATTGTCAAAATCTCCTTCTGACTCATCTTCAGAATCTTCAAAATCAGATTCATCTTCTAAACTTTCTAAAACATCTTCAGTGGCTAACTACACCAGGATCTGATTGATACTTGTTCCAATCCCATACTTCAGACTCTTTCACCACAACGTCTCTACTGACTTCAACTTTACTAATTTCTGGACAATACAGCTTATACGCACTTGTACTGTGATACCCCACCAGCAACATTACTTTGCTTCTATCATCCAGTTTTTGTCTTCTAGCTTCTGGAACGTGTTTGTAACATACA